GCAAGGGGGACAGCCGGCTGTGGCCTTTTGTCTCTGGGCAGGGCAGGAGAAGGCTTGGGGGCAGCTCCGGGAGGCGGGCAGTGGCCAGCGGTGTTGGGGCTCCACGGAAAAGTCTGGTCCTTTCCCAGCATCCTCTGGAGAGGGTTTTGGCAGCCAAATATGTGAATTTTTCGGGTGTTCTTAGGGAGCGGGGTTCCCAGGGGGCTGAGACCCAGTGAGGGGAGGACCGGAATTTCCCGGAAGAGCCACTGACAGTGACAGATGTGACATCTGTCCTTCCTGTCATGTGCTACTGGGGGAGGGGGCCCGTGTTCTGGATCTGTCAGCCGAGTGATTCATCCAAGTTCTCCTGGCCAGTTGCTCAGTAGCCCCATCCTTGTCCTCTTCTCGGGCCCTGCCAGGATGCCCCCGACCATCCCGGGGCTCGAGGGAGCAGGCGCTCACTGTGGACACCAGGGTCCGGACTGGGGCTCAGGCGCTGTCCCCGATGTCTCCTGCTCCTCCTCACACTCCCACAGCCTCCCAGGCACGCAACCCCGTGTGCCAGCATTCCTAGGAACATCTCTCTGCCGCCCGAGGAGGGGCTCAGTGAGGCCTTGGCCATCAGGGGTGGCCCGCTGGGGGCAGGGCTGGGGCGTCCTGGTGCCGGGCACCGTGAGCCGCCCCACCACAAGAGCCCTTTGTTCCTGCCCAGGACACGCTGAACAACAATTCTCTGGGCAAGAAGCACAGCTGGCAGGACCGCGTGTCTCGTTCCTCGTCACCCCTGAAGACAGGTAAATGGGGACCCTCTCCGGGGCCACCTCGTCCCAGCCAGGGAGTCATCCCCACAGTGTGGGGCTCTTGTCTGTGGGTCCTGCTCCTGAGCAGGCCCAGCAGGGCCGGGGATGACCCTGGGAGAGAGGCCCAGCCCCAGAGGGTGCGCCTGGGCTTGGCACTGGTGTGACCCGCGGAATGGAAGGTCACCCAGAGCCAGGCCTGTGGGCACCGGTCATGCCCCCTGACTTCTTGCTGTCCTCTAGGGGAGCAGACCCCTCCGCACGACCACATCTGCCTGAGTGATGAGCTGCCCCCGCAGGGCAGCCCTGTGCCCACCAAGGACCGCGGCACGTCCACCGACAGCCCCTGCCGCCGCAGTGCCGCCACCCAGATGGCACCCCCAAGCGGTGCCCCCGCCGCACCCGCGGGGGGCCGGGGCCATGCACACCGAGACCGCATCCACTACCAGGCGGACGTGCGGCTCGAGGCCACCGAGGAGATCTACCTGACCCCAGTGCAGCGGCCCCCCGACCCCGCAGAACCCGCCTCCGCCTTCCTGCCGCCCGCCGAGAGTCGCATGTCCATCAGCTCCGACCCCGACCCCGCCGCTTACCCCTCCACCACGGGGCGGCCTCACCCCTCCATCAGCGAAGAGGACGAGGGCTTTGACTGCTTGTCGTCCCCCGAGCGGGCCGAGCCGCCGGCCGGAAGCTGGCGGGGGAGCCTGGGGGAGCCACCGCCACCCCCCCGGGCCTCCCTGAGCTCGGACACCAGCGCCCTGTCGTACGACTCGGTCAAGTACACGCTGGTGGTGGACGAGCACGCCCAGCTGGAGCTGGTGAGCCTGCGGCCGTGCTTCGGAGACTACAGCGACGAGAGCGACTCGGCCACCGTCTACGACAACTGCGCCTCCGCCTCCTCGCCTTACGAGTCGGCCATCGGCGAGGAGTACGAGGAGGCGCCCCGGCCGCGGCCCTCTGCCTGCCTCTCCGAGGACTCCACCCCCGATGAGCCCGATGTTCACTTCTCCAAGAAGTTCCTCAACGTCTTCATGAGCGGCCGCTCGCGCTCCTCCAGTGAGTCGGCCCTGGGGGCCTGGGTGGAAGCACCCCGGGGATGGGGGAGCCCCATGTGGTTTGGGGTATCTGGTTCAGGGACCAGAGTGATAGGACAGCGGCTAGGGCGTTGGCCCTGCATGTGACCGACCCAGGTTCGATCCCTGGCACCCCATATGGTCCCCTGAGCCTGCCAGGGGTGATCCCTGAGTGCTGAGCCAGGAGTAAGCCCTGAGCATCGGCAGTGAGGTCTCCAAACAGAAGAAACTGGCTTAGTGCCTAGTTCATTCTGAGTTCACCCCCCTGCCCCCACACCGCCACCAGAGCTGGGCTCCCCTGCTCCAGCCTGCACCCCCACCCCCAGGTGCCGAGTCCTTTGGGCTCTTCTCCTGCGTCATCAACGGCCAGGAACAGGAGCAGACCCACCGGGCCATCTTCAGGTAAGGACCTCCCTGCCTCAGCCACACCCGGGCTGGCTCAGGCACTGTACCTGTCCGCTCTGACCCCGGGGAAGGGGGTGGGGGGCGGAGGGCACCCTCACTGGCATGGTCTCTGGGGCAGAGCTGCTGGTCACTGCCCGAGGGGCCTGGGGTGCCTCATTCCCCACCACACCCAGCTCCCACGTCCCTGTGGAGGAAGGTGTCCCTGGCCATTTCCATCAGCTTATCAGGGGGCAACTGCCAGTCTGATGGCACTAAAGGGCACTCAGAGGCATTGTGTGTGTGTGTGTGTGTGTGTGTGTGTGTGTGTGTGTGTGTGTGTGTGTGTCTCCCCGGAGCACAGGGAAGGGGAGGGCCTGCTGGCGGGGAGGACCTGGGAACCACATGCTCCTCACATGTCCCTGCGGGGACAGGTTTGTTCCTCGGCACGAGGACGAGCTGGAGCTGGAAGTGGATGACCCGCTGCTGGTGGAGCTGCAGGCCGAGGACTACTGGTACGAGGCCTACAACATGCGCACCGGCGCGCGGGGCATCTTCCCGGCCTACTATGCCATCGAGGTCACCAAGGAGCCCGAACACATGGCAGGTGCGTCCCTTCCCCACCACCCGGTTTCCCCCAGACCACCTCCCCCGCTGCCCACCCCACACCCCTTCAGCCGGGTCGGGATGCCAACGTGACGGCCCTTACGGACGCCGCCTCCCCTCGCCTTGTGCTTGCTTTCCAGCCCTGAGCAAAAGCAGCGACTGGGTGGACCAGTTCCGGGTGAAGTTCCTGGGCTCCGTGCAGGTGCCCTACCACAAGGGCAATGACGTCCTCTGCGCCGCTATGCAAAAGGTACCTGCGCGCCCTCCCGCTCTCTCGCCTCCTGCTCCCCGGGATTAGGGGAGTCCCCCGCAGCCCCTGACGTTCGGGTCCTTTCCCCCACCACCCTCCAGATCGCCACCACCCGCCGGCTGACCGTGCACTTTAACCCGCCCTCCAGCTGCGTCCTCGAGATCAGCGTGCGGGGGGTGAAGATCGGCGTCAAGGCCGACGACTCCCAGGAGGCCCAGGTCTGGTCCCGGCCCGGGTCCCCCTGCCCTCCCTCCCTCCCACTGGCCCCAGCCGCTGGCCCCACTGCAGGCTGGTGACCACGCTTGTCGCCCCTCCCTGCTTCCTCCACAGGGGAATAAATGTAGCCACTTTTTCCAGTTGAAAAACATCTCTTTCTGTGGATATCATCCAAAGAACAACAAGTAAGGGGGACGGGATGCAGGTAGCACGTGCTTGGGGGGGGGTGGGAGCGGGGGATGGGGAGAGGCAAGAGCCACTGCAGCAGGATGTAGTCCCTAGAGGTGCTGGATGCACGAGTCTCCCCCCCCTTTTTTTTTTGCTTTTTGGGTCACACCTGATGATGCTAAGGGGTCACTCCTGGCTCTGTACACAAGAATCACTCCTGGTGGTGCTCAGGGGACCATATGGGATGCTGGGAATCGAACCCGGGTCGGCCGCGTGCAAGGCAAACGCCCTACCCACTGTGCTATCGCTCCAGCCCCAGAATCTGTCCCCCTTGTTGACTGCTGTTCTCTCGCAGGTACTTTGGGTTCATCACCAAGCACCCCGCCGACCACCGGTTTGCCTGTCATGTCTTCGTGGCGGAGGAGTCCACCAAAGCCCTGGCAGAATCCGTGGGGTACGTGTGTGTATGGACTGCCCAAGGCCCTCCGCCCGTGATCCCCTGGGTCCTGCCCGCGGAGCAGGAAGCTGGGCAGCCCCTCATGGAGCTGGCACCTGGCTCCAGGGATTGGGTCTAAGTGATGGGAGCGGGGCCTCTCTGGCTGGGGCTGGGGGCTGTGGACCCCTGGGGGTACCGCCCCGGCTGACTCCGTGTGTGTTTGCAGGAAAGCCTTCCAGCAGTTCTACAAGCAGTTTGTGGAATACACCTGCCCCACAGAGGACATCTACCTGGAGTAGGGGCATGGCCCACTCGCCCACCCCCTCCCCAAACCCCGCACCACACCCGGTGCTGCTGGAGGCAGAGGAGGGGTGCCCACCACCGCTGCTGTGGAAGTGGAAAATGGGGGGGCCACTGGCTGAGGGTGGGGGAGGGCGGGGTTGGGGGAGAGGCACACGCAGTTTATTGTAATATATGGGAGTAGATTCATCTATGGAGGACCGAGCGGGCTGCTCGGGGGTTGAGGGGCACGGAGTTGTGGGGGAGGGGTGGGCCATGAAGGACGCGCCCGTCCAAGCCACCCAGGGGCCTGCCCCATCCCGGGCCTCGGGGCTATCTGGCTGTTGGCTCCTGCCCTGGAGAAGCCTTGACATGCCACCTAGGGTGCCCCCACCCCGCCCCCAACTCCCAGTCTCACCCCTTGGGCTCCTGGGCTCAGGGAGAACCCAGCCCACCCCCCCCTCCCACCTCCCCTAGGCCTCTGCCAGAAGGAAACACTGGCAGGTGGAGGCCAGGCCTGGTTCCCAGCGCTGGCACCCGGGTGCCCGCTGGGGGCTCCCCTGCAGCCTTCCTGGCATGCTGACCCTGGCAGGTGGAGCCTCACGGGGAGGGCGCGCTGCCCAGCAGGAAACGGCAGCTTCTGGACTGGCCCGGACCCATCATCCTGGTCCCGCCCCTGGCGACAGCTATTAAAGTGCCATTTCCTGTCTGGACCCCAGCAGTTGTGTGCGTGCTCATTCGCGGGCCCGGGAGCAACCAAGCGCCTGCTGCACAAAATAACTTTATGGTGGGGGCAGGGGGGATGCATCTCGTCACAGGTTTGCATAGTAGTAATAGTCGGCCATGTTCGGCCCGTCCCGCTTGCGCTGCTGGGCCCGTGAGAGGAGGGGTCGAGGCCCTCGGGGCCAAGGGTGCTTGGGCCGAACCCCGTAGTCTAGAGGAAGGAGAGAGGTCACCTGGGGAGGAGGTTGGGCATCCCTTGAGGTGCCCTTGAACAGTGGGGGCTGGGGTGGCAGGCCCCTGAGGCTGGAGCTGGGTACCCTCCCCCAGGACCTGTGGGGTGGGAGTGGGGACCGGGGCTCGATACTACCGTCCACCAGGCCGGAAAGTGGGTCTGAGAGCTGCAGGGGGGCTGCCAGTTCCTCGGGTTCGTCCTGCTGAGGCCTGTGGGAGATGTTGGGAGTGCTTAGCCCTGGGTCTGAGGCCACTGCCACCTGGTAAGGGGGCGGGGGGGGGGCCCAGGTGGGCCTCTGGGGAGGTGGCCACACCCCTACCCTGTGGGTCCCCAGGAATTACATCAGCGGCTGGGGGCGGAAGAGCGCAGCCGCCAGGACAAGGTACAGGAGGAAGAGACTCAGCCCGGCCCTGGGGTACAGAGCCCCCAGCACGGGGAGAACCAT